TTTTAGGTTTTCCTTCTCCTCCTCGGGAGGTCTCTGAGGTGACTCCCACCCTTGGGTGATCTTTGGAATCCTCTGGGATATCACAGTATTGACACTCGAGTCTCTCCATCCAGAGATTCTGATTTCAAGACCAAGGATGTCACATGAACTTTGGGCTTTAAAAATGCTCGCCTCTAGCCCCAGGATCCTACCCTAGAGAGTCTTGTGTGGTGGGGTGAAGGGTAAATTGTTTGAGCCTTGAAGGACAGGAACAAAAACAAATACAGAAGATTCCTAGAGAAAGCCTAGGGGTGGCCTAGAGCCCAGGGCGGTCAGAAACTCACGATGAACTTCAAGGGGTTTGATTCACGCCTGGCCCTGTCTAGAGAAGCGGGCCTGAGATTTCGGTGCTGCTGGATAAAGGTGTGGAGGGGAGAATGTGGTTGAAACTTGGGTGGAACGGGGAAGAGTGAGCTCTAAATTACGAAGCACAGACAGACTGGAATTTGGTAAGCAACTGAATTAGCAATGAGCAGTCTTGAAGGACTTCCGGTCCTTCAGCGGGATTGCTGATGACCTAGTTAATGTTGTCACTGGAGGCTCCAGTTCACGTGGCCCAGGGGATAGGTTTTTCTGCTGGAGTGGTGCTGCAGGCCTTTAATCCGTGTCTTGAAAAGTCAAAGGAACAACAACGGAAGCACGCTTGGACCTTCTGCATCGGGGGTGAGTGCCCTGCTGATGCCCAATCATCTCCCCCACTTTTTATTTTGAGCCGGGTTTCGCTAAAGTTGTTTAAGTTGATATTGAAATGGCTCTGCTGCCCAGATATGCTATTATGTGTGTGTCGATGTGTTTGCCACGTCATGTGTGTGGAGTTCAGATTTTGGAAGCAGGGTCTCTCTTGAGCCTGCTGTACTGCATATTCCTGGCTGGCTGGTTTGGAACCTTCCAGATGGTTGTTCTGTCTCCCACAATAACAGTCCTGGGATTACAGATATGCATCACTACATCCAGTTTTTTTTTGTTTGTTTGTTTTTGTTTTTTCGAGACAGGGTTTCTCTATGGCTTTGGAGCCTGTCCTGGAACTAGCTCTGTTGACCAGGCTGGTCTCAAACTCACAGAGATCCTCCTGCCTCTGCCTCCCAAGTGCTGGGATTAAAGGAGTGCACCACCATTGCCTGGCTACATCCAGTTTTTAAGAATATATATATATTCCAAAGATCAAACTCAGGTAGTCAGACTTTTTAGTGAGTGTTTTGTGTCCCTGAGCTCCCTCAACAGCCCCCAGACAGGCCTTGAACTTTGTCTGTCTGTCCTTGAACTCATAAGGATAAACCTAGCTCTTCCTCCCTAGTGCTTGGGGGTAAAGGCACTACCACCCCAGGCCCGCTCAAGGTCTTCCTGCCTCAGCCTTCCCAGCAGGTAGAACTACAGGCCTCTACCACCAGGCCTGGTTTCTGAACCCCCTTTATTTCTCTCTCCTCTTGGGCTGGGGATGCAGCTGGGTGGTAGAGCACCTACCTAGCATTCGTGAGGTCTTGGGTTTACTGCTCAATACAAACAGTCAGCTGGCCAGCCAGATTGGTCTCTTCAAGCAATCTTCCCTTTTGAGCAGAGGTTCCCTAAATAACTTTTTAGCTTTTTTTGCTATTATTGCTGTTGTTCTGGCTTTCCTGGAACTCACCATGTAGATGAGACTGATCTGAAGCTCAGAGAGATTCCTCTGCCTCTGCCTCCTGAGTGCTGGGACTAATGGGGTGCGCCCCACACGTAGCCCCCTGACTTGAAGACGCTTGAGTTGTGGAGTCATGTCAGAAGCAGGACTAGAGAGGGTTAGCTGACAGTGTTGAGGGTGACAGTGTATGGAGGAGGTGGGGAGCCCTTTCGGGGAGGCCATTGCAATAATCCAGGATGAGGTAGGTAATACCGACAAGGGCTGTTGGGGAAGGGTGGTAACAAAGCCTTGTGGAGTTGACACAGCTCAACAGCACACCTTGATACAGCAGGCATGAGATGTTTAAGGAGGATGGCTGGGGCATGCTGTCATCAAAGGGGCCAACAACGCACAGTGTGATAGTATTTCAACAAGTTGGTTTAGAGCAAAAGGAGTGAAGAGCCCAGGCACGGTCCCCGTGGCTGGCCACGTTCCTCCATAGACAGGCTTCCTGTGGCATGGTCCCCGTGGCTGACCACGTTCCTCTGTAGACAGGCTTCCTGTGGCATGGTCCCGTGACTGGCCATGTTCCTTCACAGACAGGCTTCCTGTGGCATGGTCCCGTGACTGGCCGTGTTCCTTCACAGACAGGCTTTCTGTGGCATGGTTCCTGTCTGTGAAAGAATGCAGCCAGCCTCTGGAGGAAGGTCTGCAGGTGCTGTGTTCTGTTGGAAAAATGTTGGGTCAGTGGTTGGAATGTAACTGTGTGGTGAGATGTTTGCTTAACACATGAAGATCTGGGCTCAAGATCCATTGCCAGAAAGAACGAACGAGCCCTTCCCAAAACTTTTAATCCCAGCACTCGGGAGGTACAGGCAGGGGGATCTCTGTGAGTTTGAGGCCAGCCTGATCTACAGAGTGAGTTGTAGGACAGCCAGGGCTACACAGAGAAACCCTGTCTCAAAAAAAAGCAAAGCAAACCAAACCAAACCAAAAAAATCTAGATACCTGGGAAGGGGGAGAAAGAGGAAGGGGTTATTGTCAGCGGTGGCGTGTTTGGGAAGGAGATAACGCACCACTGAGCCCAGAAGGTTGGGGAATTCCCAGTCAGGAGAGAGGTGTGCCTGACACATGGTGACACACCTGTAATCCCAGCATTTGGGAAGTGGAAACAGTATTTCAGGACACAAAGGTTATCGTCAGGTAAACAGTGAGTTTAAGTTTAACTTAACTGTATGAGATACTGTGTCAAGATAAGTCAATGAATAAGGGGTGGGGTGGGCAGGCGGACAGACAAGTCAGGCAGGAAAGGGCTGGGGGAAGCAGAGTGTTTTGAAAACATCACTAATTTTGTGCAGTGCAATCAGTGGCTATTTGAGATCCTAGCGGGGTGAGGGATGGAAGTGCGTTTCAAGGAGGCTGAAAGAGCGGGTTTGAAGGAAAGACAGAACCACAGAGACAGTTTCCAACTCAAGAAGAAAGCTGAAGAGGAATGAGGCCGGAGACACGGCACATAGGAAATCCTTCAAGAGCACTGGTGGCGGCTGCTCAGGGGCTATGATCTTGCTGCTCTTTCAGAGGACCTGGGTTCAGGTCCCAGAACCCACAGTAGGTGTGGCTCACGACCACCCGTAACTCCAGCTGCAGTGTATCGGAGGGTGTTTGTGGGCATCAGCACACATGCTTATGTAATACACACACATATAAAAATAAATCTTTAAGAAAATAACTATCGCTAGGAAAGGCATTAGACCTGAAATGTCTCAAGGGGAACCAGTGATACCTGTGCCTCCCTCCCTCAGCCTCAGCACCCCCCTCCCCCCCAGTGCAAGGTTTTCTGCCTGGATTTGGTCACAGCCTGGTCTGAGCATATCTCACCAGCCATCCTATGTGTCACCGCCATGCCTCATGAATGAACAGCTGGGACACACCCTGCTTTACATGTGTGCAGTGAAACCAGACATCCGCTCTGCTTGGTCCCCATCCCCTCTCACAGATGCATCACTACAGCTTAGGGTTAGCAAGGGCAATGAGCCCAGGTGTAGAGGATCTGTTAGCCCTTTTCCCAGGATTCCCACTGGTCTCCGCTACTTGTCTGAGCTTGCCTTCCTGCAGTACTATGGTGCAAGCTGTCCAGCCCCTGGCCAGGAACACTGTGGGCAGGTGATCTTTCCCCTGCTCCTGTTACCCCAGCCTCGACCAGGTTCACTGTGGTCTGCCATCTTCTTCCTTCTTGCCTTCTAGAAGTCTCCCTTCCTCCAAGCCCTAAACCCAGCCTAGAAGGGAATGGGAAAGCAGGGCTGGAAAGCCCGGGAGAATGACACTCCAGGTCTTCCTCTGGCTCCGTCGCTCTCTCTTGACAGAGGGTTTAGTACAGCCCAGAATGACCTCTAACGTGCTACAGAGTGTGAGTTTGAACTCTTGACTCTTCCCTGCCAGACGCTAGGTCTATAGACCTACAGCAAGCCTGGCTGGGGGGACCCTCTTTTCTCTGCTGTCATGGAAAATTATCTCCTCCCATTTTTCTCTGGTGAGGGTCAGCACCCCTTCGCGCCCCCCGCGGAGTGGAAAAACAAAAACCAAGATGAAAAGTGAAAAGGGAACGGAAAGCCAAGGGTCAAGGTGTTCTCCGAACTGTGGTCTTTGGAACTGCGGGTGATAAATCCACTAAAGTGTCTTTAATACCGTCTTTCGGAAGTTCACACACACGCACACACAGATCAAAATAAGTCTAGGGCTGAGGGGAGCCGGGGAGCGCAGGCTCCCTTAACCCTTCTGCCCCGCTGCCCAGGGGTTGGCACAGATAGAAAGAGTATTTACACTGCAGGGACTTGGTTCTTTTTCAGGGTGAGGAGTACTAAATCGGAAACTTCCCACATCTCACTCCGAAAGCAACAAAACGGGAGTTCTGAAATTAGCAAGAAAATAGGCAGAGAGACCCGGATGGAGAAGGGAAAAATCTGCACTGGCAAAGATCCGAGCCAGAGTAGGGTTGCAGTTCTCCCAGGGCTGAGCCCTTTTAGAGGGGTAAGGGGAAAGGGCACGTCCGACTGCGGGCTGGGCCTGAATTCACAAACCCAATCAACGGACTGAACTATCCCGCAGGGAAGAAGGCGGAGCCTGCCGACCTGGAGGCGGGGTTTGTGGGAGTTGGGGCGGGGCCTCTAGAGGAGGCGGAGCTTCGAGGGCCTGACTCCCTACTGAGGATCCGAGACCTGGGGAGCTCCGCCCCCGCGTTGCACTTGATGGGGTGGGGAACTGGGGCGACTCGGGGCTCGGGGTTTGGCACGGATTCCAGTGTCGCTGGGGATGTGGGTTTTGGAGAGGTTCCTGAGGAACTGGGTTCGGAGAGTAGTCGCTGGGCCCGAGGTTCCGTGGGGGCGGAGTTTTTGATGTCTGGAAGTCCAGCGGCGCCGCAGGAGGATGTGCAGGGCGCGCGTTGGATTGGCGGCAGGACTGCACGACGCGCCTGGGAGGTTGGGGGGCACGGAGTGGGGCCGACAGGGGGGTGGTTTTAGGGATCCCAGTAGTTTTCGTGGTGCTGGGCGGCGATGATGATGACTACAGTGAGGATGGTACAGAGCACCATGGCTGCGATGCCCACGGCCAGGGAGATGAAGGAGAAGTTCCGGGCCTCGCGTGAAGCGATCTCGGCGGACACCATGTCTCCGCGGGCCAAGGCCGTGCGCACCTACCGGGGAGGGACGCGGGAAGGCGGGGGTCAGAGAGCCTCTGCTTACCCGTATGTCCAGAATGCCCTGGACTAAGGAAGCCCGGGGCAGCCCGAGCTTTTTCTCTCCTCCCCTCCCCACACACCTGCACGGCCTTGAAGATGGCGATGATGCCTGTAGGCCAGAAGCAGCAGATGGTGGTCAATACAGCGATGGGCATGTAGTCGTGTGGCGGGCGCCTGGGCTCCAACAGAGCCAGCCCTGGGGCCTGGGGCGGCGGGGGCAGAGTGGAGGTCACTCCCGGCCCCCCAGGGGTCCCGCCTGCGTAGGGCTGTGGGAAGGACAGTGGGGGGAAAGGGACGTCACGCCTACACTCTTGCTGCTTGCCAGCGGTTGGCCAGTTGGCAGAGAGGTTTCTACAAACCCGACTCTAAGATTTGGAGGGGGGAAGAATTAACGCCCCATCCTTCCTGATAGTAAAATCGGCCTAGGCTTCCCCTCTTTGTGTTATTAAGCCCCATAGTCGCGCAAGTTCCCACACTGTCTTACAAGGTCTGGGTCTGTCTGCACTTGAGGTCTCGTTTCCAAGCTCCTTGGCATCCCCAGGCTCAGACTTTGCCCTCTTCTACCCTAGCTTCCCAGGTTCCATTTCTTTCTCTCCCTCCAAGCGGCTTCCGTCCTCAGTTTTGAACCATCTCCCAAACCTTGACCTCTGACCCCCAAAGATAGCCCCCTCACCAGGTCCACCACCTTCCCACCCGCAGTCCCTTCCCTCTCCACTCTTCTGTCTAGGGTTTGTTACCAGAACACCGCTCGCTCTGGTTCTATTTCGCTCTCTCCCAGCTTCCCGTGTGTCCCTGTTGCACCTGCTTCCCTCCTCCTAGGTCCCGTCAGCCCCACACTCACCGTGCCCACCGGATACACCGGAACATAGGCAGTGCAGGGCTGCAGCTGCAGCGGGTAGCCGGGCGCCACGTAGCCCCCCAGCGGCAGTGTGCCCACCGCCCCCGTGTGCGTGGGCACCACAAAGCCCGGGGCTTGGGCCGTCGGGGCTGGTGCTGGTGGGGGCGGGGCGGCGGCCGCCGGCGGCGGTGGGGGAAGTGGGCCCTCGAAGCGAGTCTCCTGCAGATAAGGGTCGGGTGGCATGCGGGGTAAGGTAGCGCAGCCGGGTGGAGGAGCCCCAGCGCCGGGACCGGGTGGGGCATGGTGGGGGGGCCGCGGTAGCGTGGCGGAGGACGAAGGACCACGCTGAGCGCTAGCCGAGGCAGAGGCCAGCCCACCTGCCCCTAAGCGCGGGAGGGTGGCAGTGCCAGATTGGTGGTAGTGGTGGTGGTGGTGATGGTGCGAGGAGGGGGCCGTTTGTGGGGGCGGGATGGGGGGCTCGGCCGGAGGTTGGGGGGCATTGTAGGGCGGCGGCGAAGTGTGGGGAACCGAGTCTGGAAGGCCTGGCCACAGAAAGCGGAGGAGAGGATAAGGGGAGAGAGAAGACAGCAGAGATCAGAAGGGTAAGAAACAAGGTGGTCGGAGAGACAGGTGGGATGGCAGCTCCCAGTCTGGGGTCAGGGAAGCGGGTGTATCTAGGCTACCTGCCCTCCAATCTAACTGTCACAACTCTCCTCCAGCCCCCCCCCCTCCCGTCACCCACAGCTGCCAACCACACATCCTCATCCAGGGCTGCCCCAGAGCTGTCCCCTCTGAACTGCGTGCTCGCTTTAACAGTTTTCATGCGGAAGACATTCCCACTTTCCTCCAGTGGAGAAATGGGCCAGGGGTTACCTGGGAATCTCATGGCCTCAGTTAGGGTCCATAAAAATGTCTCCTGGGACTAGCCATGGTGGCTCAAGCCTGTAATCCTAGTACTGGTGAGGCAGAGGCAGGAGGACGAGGAACTAGGGAGTTCAAGGCCAGCCTGGGCTACGCTGGAAAATCTTATCTCAAAAAAAAAAAAAAAAAGTCTGCTAAATTCTACTTCCCCGGCAGCCCCATCTGATCAAGTCACTGATATTTCTCCACTGGGTGTCTCCAAGCCATCTGTCACTCCCAGGGATGGTGTCCCTGCAGTACCTGGCTGTGCCTTCCTCTCCTCAACCTGCCCCCCCCTCGTGTTGTTGACATGGCAGAGGCAGACTGACCCAAAGAAAGGAAGAGAAGGATGAGCTACAGGAAGAGGAGGGGGTGGGGGTCTGAGTGCCTGGAAGTGGAATGGGACTGAGTCACACTGCACCCCAGAGAGGGTCAAAGAAGGGGGTTAGGGCAAGTGGGGGGTGAGACCGGAGAGGATGGAGGGGCTGTGGGGCTATTGGGATTTTTTTTTTTACCTGACTTTTCCGCTGACATGTTTGCAGTAGCTGGAGCAGGGTCTCTGAAGCTGGAGTCAGGGCCCCCTGGCCGGTGCAGAAGTCTGGGTCCGGGATGGCGCAGCCGGCAGCAGCGGCGGCGGCGGCGGCGGCGCAGAGATGGAGAGATGAAGACAGTGTCGGAAGGGGGGGGGGGCGGGCAGACGGAGAGTGGCAGAAGGAGCGTGGCAAGGGGGGGAGCTTAAAGGGACCGAGGCCAGGGAGGGGGAGAGCTTCAGAAGTCGCCCCTTCCAACACACACTCGTTGTCGCTCTGCTCTTGGACCACCTCTTCCCTCCTCTCACCCTGGCATTCAAGCCCCCAGTTTAGGCTCCCTTGGAGTTGTCATGGAAACCGGGAGGCAAGACCAGGCAAGGCGGGTGGGACTAAGAGAATGAAGGAAAGGAGGGAGAGAGAGAACTCTCTCGAGTCTCTCAAAGACGCGCTGTAGTGATTACATTGTGGGAAGCCAGTTCAATGGACTCACCCACTTACCTCCAGACCCTGTTCACCCAGACCCTGCTCACCCAAGGGGTTCTTTCCTCAGTTCCCCTCAGAACTGCAAGATAGCTCTAGGCTTCTCCAGTTAGAGACAGAATCAGGTGTGAGCGAAAACTGTTCAAAGCTGGGAACCAAGAGAGCCTGAAAAGTCCCCCAAGCATACAGCCTGGGCCTGCCCTTGCCTCACAGAGGCCAGAAGCTCGGGCCTGTAATTTGAAGCTGGCTGAGAGAAAGCACCTGTGGGGGTACACGGGCACCTTCTTCTTCCAGGGTTAAGAAGCTGAAATGCTTTAGCAGAAGGGAGCAAAATGCAATTGCTTATTTGTGATGGGCAGGTTTGAAAAAGCCTGCTTGTGGGGGCTCCAGAGTTCATATCTGTACCCTACAGCACCCCTGTCCTCCACTCCTCCCGCCCCAAGACGCTGATCCACCCCCGGAGTCAACCCGAGACGCTGGGGTGACTTACAGTCTTTTTATTTGCTTTTTGTGTCTTGGAAGGGCGTGGGTGGGGAGGTGGGGTGAGGATAGGCAGTCTACAGAGATTATACCAGTTGGGCCTTTTGCAGAAACCCAGCAGGAGAATCAGAAATGCCCTCCCATTTTAGAATTTCCCAGCCCTCGCCTGAGGCAGTCGCCCTAGGACATGGTCCCTCCGGTGGTGTTCTGGAGGGCAGTCCCAGGTCCCGGCTTGAGCCGGTCCCAGGTCTGAGAAATTTTTGCATCACGGCTTCATACCGGTGATTCTGGTTTTTCAAGCGTGGATGGATCAGAGAGAACCACGGATCTATTCCTCCCACACCGGCTTCACTCCACGCGTCTGGTTTTATTGAGAGTCGAGTTGAGACTGAGCAAAGACCCTGCATACAGTCCGAGCGGCTCAGGCGTGCTCAGAAATCCTGGAGCCTTATTTAATTACTAAGTAAATGCCCTGACGGGTAAAGGCCAGCCAAGAGCACTCGGGCGCGCGCAAGGGTCACGGCTAGGCTGAGTGGTGCCAGCACCCGCAGCGCAGAAGTCTGGCTGCAGCAGCAGGGTCTGTGTCGCTAGCTGCCCGCTGAGATCTGAGGAGCAGATTGTTGGGATCGCTCAGGGCTCAAAGACTGGTGGAAATCCGATGGTGAGTCCCTAAAGCCCCTGGGGCCCTCCGCCCATGGAAGGTGGGTCTTGAAGGGTCAGTCGTGAACGCCGAGATAAAAGTAGGGCCAGAGAAACTGGGCCTGGCTGCACTTCACTCAAGGGGCCTGAAGGACTCTTGGCGTCTCCGGAGACAAGGTCACAACACGCACTTCAAAGTGAAGAGTTTGTAAGGCGCTGATCGGGAGCGGGACGGGCGGAAGAGGGGCGCTCCGGCTGGGGTCGGCCTGGCACGCTGCCTGCCACTCGCCTGGCGTCCAGCTACACGCTGGGTTAGCCTTTCGTCCGTCCTACACCCCCCCCCCCCCCCACCTTGGGAACAGAAATTCGGGCTCTGCTGCAAAGCCAGAAAACCTGGCTAGATTGGAAAGTTGGGCGCATCAAGGAGGGGAAGTAGTACCCCTGGGTGGCTGAACGCAGCCGACCCTACGAAAGCCTTCTTTATATACCCATGATTTGCTATTGCGTCTCCCCTTCCGGTTGAATGGATCGTTCCGCCGCCTGCTTCCTCCCCAGTTCCCTGTGTGCAGTGGAATATTCCATTGCCCCTCCGGTCCGCGGTCCGTGTTGCAGGGGACGCTCTCTCTGTTGTCAGGGAAAGCCCCGGACGTGACGGCTTTGCGCGGCCCCGAGCACCCCCCTTCCCATCCGTCATCCCCCTGCGCGCTCTCCTGGTCCACCGTTCCCTCCTACCCGGTGGATTGCAGACTGGGTACAAGTAAACAGCTGGCGGAGCGAAGCCTCCAGACCCAGGCCAGGTGGGAGTTCCCACTCTCCGTGGGGCCTGGGCTGCTGCTCCGGGGCCCTTGCAGAACCCGGAGTTGTGCAAGGCCGAGGTGATGCTTACGGAAGATCCTGGGCCTAGGGACCAAGTCCCTTGAGCGCCAAGTTGGGGGCGGGACTTAGGGTGAGCATTAGTGCGGCGAGGTGGTAGGGGGTGTGTTTGTGCCGAGCCAACCGGAGTAAGTAAAAAGTAGGCTGTTGTGGCAAGGACCTGGTATGGGAGCGGAGGCCGGAGGGTTGCTTGCTGGGAGTCTATTGGAAGCCGAGGGGTGGGGGATCACTTCCCTTACAGCCCCTCGTTCCTTCTCAGGTAGGAGCATGCCGGGGCTATGGAGGCAGAGGCTTCCTTCGGCGTGGGCTTTGCTCCTCCTGCCATTCCTGCGGCTGCTGATGCCCGCAGCTCCCGCACCCCACCGCGGGTCCTACAAGCCAGTGATCGTGGTGCACGGGCTCTTTGACAGTTCATACAGCTTCCGCCACCTGCTGGACTACATCAACGAGGTCTGTCACGGGACGCCGGATGGAGGGTGTTGGAGCAGCTATTATGGCTGGGGAGGAAGCGTCGACAGCTGAAAGATAACCCCTCTAGGCCAGTTCCTCAGAGTATGGCTACTAGTGTGGGGGAGACTTGGGGGACGGGGGTTCCTGGTTCCAGCAAGCGCATTGAATGCACGTGGCCTTCATAGTCCAACCCCAGTGGCTGCATTGCCCCCTTCCCACAGACACACCCCGGGACTGTGGTGACAGTGCTTGATCTCTTCGATGGCAGAGAGAGCTTGCGGCCCTTGTGGGAGCAGGTGCAAGGGTTCCGAGAGGCTGTTGGCCCCATCATGGAGAAGGCCGCTGAAGGGGTACATCTCATCTGCTACTCCCAGGGTAGGCAACACACTCCCAACTCCCAAGCCCTGTAGGAACTTGACCCTGAAGCTGCTTTCCACCAGCGGTTGCTTCTCTGCGCTGCATAGCTCTGGTCAGAGGCCTAGTACGTGAACCCCCACCACCCCCATTTTCTGGCTTCCCTCAGCACCCGTCTTCCTCCCGCCCTGAATGGGAGGGAGGCTCCCCTCTGTCCTCATTTTCCGTGGCTTAGAGTTAAGGATCAGAGGCCTAGACTCTTAGCTTGGCTCTGTCACGTGACCCGCAACTTGTTGGCCTAGGGTGTGTCTTCAGTTTTGGATTCCATTCTTTTAAAGTTTTGAGAGACCAGAGGCCAGGGTCACTGGGGTGCCCGTTCCAATGTTGGCGCTCTGCCTCCAGGGGGCCTGGTGTGCCGGGCGTTGCTGTCTGTCATGGATGAACACAACGTGGATTCTTTCATCTCGCTGTCCTCTCCACAGATGGGGCAGTATGGAGGTGAGTGGGCACTGTGGGTTGCACAGAAGGCGCCGTGTCCGGGGCACAGAGGGTTGAGGCTACTTGGCGCTGCCGTTCTTTTCTCAGACACGGACTACTTGAAGTGGCTCTTCCCGACATCCATGCGGTCTAACCTCTATCGGATCTGCTATAGTCCTTGGGGCCAGGAGTTTTCCATCTGCAACTACTGGCATGGTAAGCCAAGGGGAGGGGCCCGCGTGGACACGGCCCTGTGGACGGCGAGGCCCGTGCCCACCTCTTCCGCAACCAAAGCAGTGGTTTCCCTTTATCCACACTTACTAATCGAATAGGTGCTATTCAGAATGTTGTTGGCTAGCCAGCCACCAGGTACCTCAGAGTGTGTGGTCTGGTGCAAAATTAAAAAAAAAAAAAATTAGCGGATCATCATTATTATTAGTCTGTGTACATGTGCGCGCGCGTACGTGCGTGTGCGTCTGCTCATTCATGAACCATAACACATACATGGAGGTCAGAGGACAACTTTCAGGAGTCCATTCTGTCTGTCTGCACCACTGTTAAGCTGCTGCAGTGTGGACCATAGCCCACATGAGTGAGTGGTGACTTTATTTACAGTAACAGGCAGCAGGCTGGGTTTGGTCCTTTGTTGCCAGCCTCTAGTGCAGGGTAGCATGCCTGGGTGCTGGGGCCAGATTAGTATCATTAAATTAATGAGAGTAAGACACTTTTAACAATCACTGGCTCACACTGGGTGCCAGATAAAAGTACCTTCCAGGCCGGGGTTGCTGGTAAGCACATTTAATCCCAGTACTTGGGCGGGAGAGGCAGGAGGATTTCTTGAGTTTGAAACCAGTCTGAATTATATGGGAGTTTCAGGACAGCCAAGACTAAATAGACCCTGTCTCAACAAACAAACCAAACAACAGAAAACCTCAGAAAGTGCTTTTGATCATGCTGACCGTTATTTTTATCCTTCTGTTATATGGCTGTGTGTCTGTCTTCACTTTAGATTTATGTATGTATTTATGGCTGGGTGTCTGGCTTCACTGTTAGATTTATATATGTATTTTATGTGTATACTTTGCTTGTTCATCTGCATACCAGAAGATGGCATCAGACAGCTATGAGCTGCCCTGTGGGTACTGGGAATTGAACTCAGGACCTTCAGAAGAGCAGTGAGAAGTCTTAACCACTGAGCCATCTCTCCAGCTCCGGTCTTCACTGTTACTGCAGTCTCCTGACTGGCCATCTGCTCTTCTTTCCTATTATACTTTTCTTCCTTTTTTTTTTTTTAAAGTTTTAAAATTTTATGTATATAAGGGTTTTTTTGCATATATGTGCACCACATACATGCCCATTGCCTGTGGAGACCAGAAGATGGCATTGGGTCCCCTGGGACTGGAGTTACAGACAGTTGTGAGCCACTATGTGGGTGCTGGGAATTGAACCAGAGTCTTGGAAGAGAAGCCAGTGCTCTCAACCACTGAGCCATCTCCCCAGCCCCATTGACTCTCTGTGTAGCCAAGGATGGCTTTGAACTGATCTCCTGATGGGACATCCTGAGTGCCGGTGTTTAGGTGTGGGCTACCCATGCCCACTTATGCAGTCCGTGGGGTCAAATCCCACGGCCTCAGGCTCCTGGCTGTCTCCCTAACTGCTGTGTGTACTCAGATCCTCACCACGACGACCTGTACCTCAATGCCAGTAGCTTCCTGGCCCTCATCAAAGGGGAAAGAGACCATCCCAATGCCACTGGTAAGGCCCAGCTCCCACCTCTGTCCCTCTTCCGCTTCTACCCTGGTTTGCGCCCTGTGACTGACCCCATCTCTCTCCATCTCCACAGCGTGGCGGAAGAACTTCCTCCGCGTGGGCCGTCTGGTGCTGATTGGGGGTCCTGACGACGGAGTCATCACCCCTTGGCAGTCTAGGTAACTTGGCAGTCAGGGGATTGTAGAGGCTGAAGACCTGGCCTGGTAGTGCCCCTGGCATACAGTAGATGCTCATTGAGAGACAGGGGCCCGGTGTTAGCCCAGAAGTGACCTCTTGCCTTTGCTTCCCGAGTGACAGGCATTATTACCATAGCTGCATCTCCCTCTTCCATTCTGGGAGTGCTGGGAACCAGCTCCAGGGACTTACACACTCTAGGCAAGTGTTCTGCATGCCTGACTCTTGTAGGACATGTTTGAGCCTGAGGCAAGAAGATCACTTGAGCCCAAGAGTTCAGGATGAGCTCGGGCAAGATAATGACACTGTTTCAGCAAACACAAAAGCCTGATAGAGCTAACGCTGGGACTCTGGAGGCAGAAGCAGGTGGGGCTCTGTTTCAGGCCATCCAGGGCTGTTTGTTTGAGACCCTGTGTCAAGAAACACCACCACTGCCACCGACAAGCAGAAAGCTTGTATAAAAAGTCTGTTGATTCTGGCAGCTGGAGATGTGGCTCAGCTGGCACAGTGCCTGCCTAGCGTTCCCCAGGTTTCATCCCAGCACTCGGGGCAGAGGAGGAGGATGAGAAGTTCAGGGTACTACATCGTGAATTTGAGGCCAGCCTGGGCTACTGAGACCCTATTTCAAAGACCACACACGAGCATTCATACACATATAATTCTGAAGTAATCATGGATTCTTAGGAGGTTGCAGAGATGGCTTATCAAGGTCCTGTGTGTGCGGTTCCAGAGTTTACCTGGGGCTGCATTCTGAGTAGAACACAGTGTCCGACTCAGACCTCTGGGCTTGGTGGCACACGCCTTTAATCCCAGAATTTGGGAGATAGAGGCAGGAGGATCCTTGAGTTTAAGGCCAGCCTGGGCTTAAAGCTAGCCAGGGTTATGTAAAAAACAAACAAACAAGGAACAACAAAAACCCTTGTGAGTGTGAGGCTCCGGCCATTTTCTCACGGTCCCTACCATTCAGTGCCAGGCCCAGTGAGTGTCCACCTCAGCCCCTGTCTCCCTCCTCCGGAAAGCGGATGGCTCTGCAGCCCTGCACACCTGCCTCTGTTGCGTCATGAGTTGACCCAGGAGGGTCACCTGAAATTTACTCAACAGATACTTAATGATCAGTGTGTGCCCGGGTGCCATCCTGGGCCCTGGGGAAGCGTCGGCAAAGAAAGTCCCTGATGTCCGTGTTCTTTACACACTCAAGTAGAAATAGTATGGCAGGGACAATGAATGGAGGCAGGGGGGTGTCCTCGGAGGAGCTGCCATCTGAGCAAGCCTGAGGAAGTAAGGGGAGGCTTGTGCCATGGGAGCCTAGCAGAGCCCTCTGAGGATTGGGGAAGGAGGTAGCTGGGCATGGTCAGCGTCAGGCTCTTGAGCCGTTTCTTCTTGTGACAAGTGGTAGCTTAGCGTGGAGAGGGTGCAACCGTAATCCCAGCACATCCGAGGGTGTTGTTGTGTTTGTGGTCAGCCTGGGATACCAAGTGAGACCCTTCACAAACAAAGAGCTCATAACCGATAACAGAAAGCTGAGAGGGTATAGCTCAGAGATTTGGCTAGCTTGATTAGCCTTTCTGTTTTTGGAGACAGGTGTAGCCCTGACAAGTCTGACCTTGAACTCAAAGAGATCCTCGGCCTCTGGGCCTCAGTCTTGCCTGCTGGGATTAAAGGCGTGCCCCTGGCTCCTTGGATTCACCCTGAGCACCTTGAGGAAAGAAAGGGCAGATAGGTGGATAGGTAGGCAGAAGTCATTTAGTTTTTTTTTTTAAATATATTTATTATGTATACAATATTCTGTCTGTGTGTGTCTGCAGGCCAGAAGAGGGCACCAAACCTCATTACAGATGGTTGTGAGCCACCATGTGGTTGCTGGGAATTGAACTCATGANGGGGGGGGGGGGGGGGAGGGGAGGCAGAAGCAGGTGGAGCTCAGAGTTCAAGGTCAGCTGGTCTAGGACAGCCAAGCCAAGGCTGTGTATAACCTGTCTCAAAAAAAAAAAATTAGCTAATAATAATTCTAAGTGAGACAGTAGGATGTTGGGAGAGTTGAGGAAGAGGTGGCACCATCCAAAATAAAAACAGTACGTGACTAGGGGTGCCTTATGTTCATGATGTCATTCATGTTAATAACCTATGATTGTAATAGCTCATGGCATGTCCCAAAGCACTGTTTTAGCCCCCCAGCTTTTTTGTAAGGATTTATTATTTTCAGGTTAGTCACATACTTAGTGAGTGTGCACACGTACCACCGCACATACCTGGGGATCTGAGGACAACCTGCAGGGCTTGGATAGCCCCCACTGTATGGGACTGGGGGATTGAACTGAGCGAGTCGGCTTGGCACCAGGCGCCTCTGCCTGCCGAGCCAGCGGCATGATTTAAAGTCATGTGTGAGAGAGTTCAGGTACCTGGAAGGCCAGAAGAGGGGTGACAGGCAGCTGTGACCACCGCTCCTATCCCCCACTATGCTCTTAATTGACAGCTCTCTAGCTCCTCCCCTTCTATTAGCTCACTCCATCCTTGTAACAACCTAGTTGGGGTGATCACTGTATTAGGACACATGGGGGCAGGAACTCACGGTTTGCCTACACTTGCAGCATTAGTGATCGGTGAGAATGGGCTGTCTGCTAGGTTTTCCTTCCCTTCCGTGAGGGGGCATTTTCATACAATATGAGATCTGATAGACACAAGTCTGGGGTTCCAACGTCTTTCCTCCCTCCAGCCCAGCTCTGCTGTACCCACCCAGCTGTCCCCTTTGTCCCCTTTGCCTGGGACATCCCTCCCTGGCCAGGCCTCATAAGCAGCCTGCTTTCTTATTCCCACAGTCTCTTGGACAAGGTCTCTATAGTCCTGAATCTCACTCTGTAGACCAGAGCTGGCCTTGAACTCTCAGAGATCCACCTGCTTCAGCCTTCTGAGTACTGGGACTAAAGGCATTTGCCACCATGCAACTCCTGGACTTTATTTTTATTTTATGTGCATAGTGTTTTGCTTGCACGTGTATATGTGTGAAGGTATTGGAACTCCTGGAACTGGAGTTACAGGCAGTTGTGAGCTGCCGTGTGAGTGCTGGGAATTGAACCTGGGTCATCTGGAGGAGCAGCCAGAGCTCTTAATCACTGGGCCACCTCTCCAGCCCCCACTCCTGAACCTTTTAACAGCTGGCACTTGTTCAGGTATTGACAGGAGGTCTACTTGCTTTTTTTTGTTTTTCTTCTTTCTGTTTTGAGAGGGTCTTACTGTGTCACCCTAGCTGTCCTGGAGCTCACAGAGCTCCTCCAGCCGTTGCCTCCTGAGCGCTGGAATTAATGAGTACACCAACTGCATCTGGCAATATTAATTAAAAAAAAAGTTGGCTGAGTCTGTAAAGATGCCTGGCCACTTGATCCCTGGATCAAAACAGTGGGAGGACTGAACTCACAGAGCTGGCCTCTGCCCTCCACATCATGTCATGGCATTGCACGTACAGTCAGTTAAATTTTAGCTGGGCATGGCTGGCTGTGCACGGGGAGCCAGAGGCCAAGGCTGCCTCAAAACAAACAAAAAGCCTATCCTCCCTGCACTCACGAGGAGGAGGAGGAGGCAGGAGGATCAGGGTCAGTGTAGGGTTCCCAGTGAGACACTGCAAAAACGACCAGCTGGCTTCTTTGCAGCAGCGAGTGTTGAATCTAGTATCCATGCTAGGCGTGTTTTTCTGTGTTTCAATTGTTTGGGTTTTGAGACAGGGTCTTTCTACATAGCCCTGGCTGTCCTGGAACTCACTATGTAGACCAGGCCAGGCTAGCCTTGAACTCACTGAGAGCCTCCTGCCTCTTGAGTGATTTGACTCTAGACATACACCACCACACTAGGTTCTTCAGTCATGTGTGGGTGTGTCTACATGCAGGTGTGTACAGGCAGGAGTGCACGTGCCCTCAGGGAGACCAAAATGCTGAGCCATCTCTCCAGCCCCCAAACTTATTTTTTTTTTTTTTACTGAAAGAAGTATGTATATGAATGGTTTGACTGTGTGTACATTTATGTACCACGTGCATGCCTGATGTCCAGGGCGGCCATGAGATGGCATTGATTGCCTGGAACTGTAGTTATAAAAGGTTGTGAAACTCCATATGGATGCTGGGAATTGAACCTGAGTCCTCTGGAAAAGCAGCCAGTGGTCTTAACGACTGAGCTTGCTCTCTAGCACTTAAATCCTTCAAGTCAGGAATTGTTCTTGGTTTTTTGTTGAGATAGTTCTCACGCAGCCCACTTTGGCCTTGAACACTCCACACTCCCCTCTCTAAGTGTGTCCCTGTGCCCAGCTTCTGTCAAAGATTCCGAGTGGCCACCAGGGGGCCTCAAGTTTCTCTGGGACTCTAGCACATGTTGGTTTTCCTAGCTCTCCTGATATTCTCCCTGCAAATCTTTTATAGCTTCTTTGGTTTCTATGACGCCAACGAGACGGTCTTGGAGATGGAGGAGCAGCCGGTAAGCCCCTTGGAACAACTTCCTTTCTCCCTCCATTGGGTTTCTGCCTCTGACCCCTGAGCTGAAGGGTCTGCCTCATAGGCCGGGGCAGCGGGGGCGGTGGGGGTCGGGGGTGATTTGAGCAGCAGCAGTACCTCACTTTGTCTTTTTCCTGTGTCTCCACACCCCTCCGCCCACCTTGAAGGTTTATTTGCGAGACTCCTTTGGGTTGAAGACTCTCTTGGCCCGGGGGGCCATAGTGAGGTGTCCCATGGCTGGGATCTCTCATACCACCTGGCACTCCAACCGCACTCTCTATGATACTTGCATCGAACCATGGCTCTCCTGAAGATGCCCTCAGGAATCCCCCGGCCCAGAGACCAAGTGGTGGCCTTGGGAAACAGATGCCAGGCTTCCACACTGCCCCACCCCACCAGGGCTCCCTGAATTCTCCCCTGCCTCCTCTGTGAATGACAAGTCCTGGTCCCCTACCTCATGTCCTCTTCTGGGGATGTCTCCACACTCTCCCTTTCTCCCACGGCTGAGGTTGGGAAGCGAGCACCAGGTTTTTAACTGGCTTCACTGCGGCTGCTGCTCCTCCGGGTCTGGCTGTACCGGAGGAGAACCCAGCCCCTGCCCACCACAGGGGCCCTTCCAGGCCACTCAGGACATTTTTAGCTTCTGTTTAGTGTCCCCCTTTTCTCAACTTCCCTGTCGCCAGCCTCCCCACCAAGAGGGACGCCCGTGAGGGGTTCTGAGGTTCCCCTATGGGGACAGTTCACTTTTGAAGTGTCAGTGTTGGGGAATATCTGTGGCCTGCAAGGCCCATCTCAGGTTTGGGGATCCCCCAGTCCCTATGATCAGTGTTGGGGTATCCCCTGGGAGCCTAGGTTCTTTGAGGCCCCAGCCCCTCTTTTAACGACCCCTGAGTTCCCTGTATTTATAAAAATAAAGTTCCCTTTCCTCAGTGTGGCTTGGCTTATTCCCAGGTGAAGGGGACCTGGGCTCCCCAAAGAGGGTAGGGTGCCCAGATGCCTGCTGTGGGGTGGGGACTCCCTTGGTGTTTCCGTCTTAATGCCCATTCTGTTTAGGTTCCTGACTCTCTGTGTGTTCTTTCCTGCTGAAGACAATTCTCTTCCTGTCCCGGCCTAGGGTTAGGGGGCTGAGCCTCAGCCTCATGGGTAGAATTGGCCTGCCACCCCCGGACTAGACGAGGGGGCTGAGGGTCAGGGTGGGCATGTGTCATGCCCTTTGACCTTTATCGGTCAGGGCTGGGTGAGGGGCTATACAGTGAGTCTCCCTTTGCCTGGGAGGAGGAATTCACACTGAGACAATAGAGCCCTGTCTGTTCTGGCTTGGGGGTGGTGTCCCCCAACCCCCAATAAATGCCATCAAGGGATGGAGGCAGTTTCTCCTGGTGCCTTGGGCGCCCCTGCCCTTCTGTGACTGCTTTCTTTCCTCAGCTGCTCTTGCCTGCTTGGCCATGACCTGCCCTTGCTCAGCTCTCCCTGTCCTCACATTCTCCCACAGTCTGTGTTAGGTTGAAGGGGGGGGTGCTGGTTGCCACTCGAGCCAGAAATTTCTGATTTGGGGGCCTTCAAAGGTTATGTAGGTCCTTCTAAGCAGCTCTTGGCTGAAGAGAGGGTGAGGGAGGCAGGACAGGCATGAGACTGAGAGCCTTGTGGGAAGGAGCAGAAGTGGGAGACACTGTCTAGGCCCGCCCCCTTGCCTTTTTCCAAGCTGGAGAGGCCCACCCACCAGTCTGGGCGGCTGCTGCTGGGGCTGCAGACTCCCTGGACAGGGAAACAGGTAGGGAGCAGGGGAAGTCAGTGGAGGACAGGATTGCGGGATTGCTTGGCCTTAGGATGGGTAGGAGCTGGGAAGGAGGCTCCTGAATGAGTGTGTCTGGTGTGTATGCGATGGTGTGGGAGAGGAATGGAGGCAGAGCTGTGTGACATGAAGGTGTAGGCTCTCTACAGTTTGGAGGGAGCACACCGAGAAGGGCTGTGTGGGAAGGCTGGCCATGAGCTCCGGGCTAAGGAGAGCCTGGCTGATGGCAGGACATGCCCAACAAAATGCACAGGCTGTGGCTGACCCTGTGAGTGCTCCTTTAGAAGAGTGAACGTCCTGACCTCAGGAGACTGTTTTAGCAGGGCTGAGGCTAGACCAGCCAGAGAGAAGCCTGTAACTGCTTGTCTGCAGCCCACAGAGTCTGGAAGAACCATGGGGCTCAGGGCTGAGCTGGGCGGTTTCCAGATTGGACTTTCGTTCCTCCTGCTACTGATGTCAGGCGAGGGACGCAAAGGAGGAGCTTTCAAACAAAGGTGACAGCAAGGGGGAGGGCCAAGGTGAGGACACTGGGTGGTGGGCAGACTTGGCCGGATGTAAAACAAAACAACATTTAGAATGAGGGCACCGGGCCTCAGCAGCTGCTGAGAGGCGCCACACTCAGTGCCTCCCACCTCCACCCTGACATGGCTGCAGTGTGGGGGTCTGCTCCAACCAGACGCTGGTGGTTCCACTCCGATACAACGAGTCCTACAGTCAACCGGTATACAAGCCCTACCTGACCCTGTGTGCTGGCAGGCGCATATGCAGCACCTACAGGTGAGAGGTGACACCCGAGCACTCCCCCAGAACCAAGCCCAGGATGGGTACCCGGAATCCTGACCCGGTTCTATGTTCTAGGACCACTTACCGTGTGGCCTGGCGGGAGGTGAGGCGGGAGGTTCAGCAGACACATGTGGTGTGCTGCCAGGGCTGGAAGAAGCCACACCCAGGAGCTCTCACCTGTGAAGGTGAGTGAGGCTGGGGCTTGAGGTCTTCATGGGAGCACTGGGTGTGCTGGGGCCTGGCACTGAGCCCAGGTCTTAACTCTTTCCTTTCAAATGCACCCAGCCATCTGCTCCAAGCCTTGTCTTAATGGAGGTGTCTGCACTGGACCGGACCAGTGCGAGTGTGCCCCAGGCTGGGGAGGGAAACACTGCCACGTGGGTGAGCAGGCAGGTTGCCCCACAGTGGGGGCGGGTGCTGGGATGGCCCCACCCACCGTGGTGCCCTGCCCCCTTCAGCCCCCTCTGTTTTCTGGTAACTAGATGTCGATGAATGCAGGACCAGCTTCACCCTCTGTTCTCATGGCTGTTTGAACACCTTGGGCAGCTTCACGTGCGGTTGTCCGCACCCCATGGTTCTGGGTTCGGATGGGCGCACCTGTGCAGCAGGGCCTCTGGAATCTTCAACAAGAGCCAGCATCCTCAGTGTGGAGGGTGGGTATAGGATGCCTGTGGGGTGAGCCTGGGTCCTCGTAGTGGGCGAGGCCACACTCACAGTCTCCTCTGTCCTAGTACGAGAAGCGGAACGTGAGGAGCAAAACCTGAGGTGGGAGGTTGCAGAGCTGCGGGCGCGGCTGGAGCGGCTGGAGCAGGCGAGCAGTGGGCAGAGGCACGGGGATGCGCATGCACCCGGGACCGCGCCAGAATCCTGAGGTCCCACTTTCCTTTGCAGTGGGCCGCACAGGCTGGGGCCTGGGTCCGAGCAGTGCTGCCCATGCCGCCCGAGGAGCTGCAGCCAGAACAGGTGGCTGAGCTGTGGGGCCGGGGCGACAGGATCGAGTCCCTCAGTGACCAGGTGCTGCTGCTGGAGGAAAAGCTGGGTGCCTGTGAGTCCCCCCTGCTCCTCCTCCGTAACTAAAGGCACTGTCAACTCAGCACCTCACCTCAAAACCCTCCACCTGTCTTTACCCCAGACCCGTTCCCCGGGGTCACTTGCTTAGTGTTGGGTGACCTGACTACAGCCACCTTGCCTCTCTGCCATTAACCAGGTGCCTGTGAGGACAACAGCCTGGGCCCAAACTTCCACGGCTGACAAGGAACTCACACAGCAGCCTGGGTCCCTGCTTTATACAGAAACTGCCTTATCTGGAATTGGTAGACGGGGGATCGACCACCTGACCGCAGAGGCGCAAAGAGCCACAGGAGGCCCCCAGATCTCTCTTTCTCTTTATTCTCAGTTGCTTGCTGTTACCCCATAATAAAAACCAACCACACAAAACTGGATCCCACTTGTTCCTTCTGCCCCCCGCCTACCTCCTGGGTCTTAGGAATGGGTCTAGAGTGGGAGGCAGGGGAGTGGCCAGTGCCACTGGGAGGAAATGAAAACTGGCTCAGAGGGGGAGGTACCTCACAAGAAAGAGAAATAAATTAAGCGCCCTCCTCTCCCTCTCACCAGGGTCAGGTTCTTTCCCCTAAGGCCCCAGGGAGCAGAGAGCGCAGCTTCTAAGGTCCGCCCCTCCGGAATTTGGTTAGATGGTCCTGGGCCAGGACCCTGGAGACCTCTACCAAAGGGAAGGGGGAAGCAGAATTGGCATTTGAAGTGTGCTCAGCCCCTGGCATGGGCAGGGATGAGGCCTCCGAGTTAGACGAGCCCAGCCACGCTGAGGGTGACTGTTCCCTAGGTGAGCTGGGGAGTCCTCAGGTGCAGCTTCCAGCCACAGGGTGAGGAGTCCTCACAGCAGATGGGCCCACTTCATCTGTGGACTTGGCGTGAGGAATGGATTGTTCCACACAACAGATGAGTCCATTGTCCAGTGTGGGGTGGAGAGGAAGAGAAGGCCACAAAGAGACCATTGGGGAAGGATGGGATGGAATGTCCCCACCCTTGTATCTGATGAGCCACTTGAGATGAGGGGAGGCAACTGTCCCACAAGACAAGATGGCAGGTGGGGATCGCAGTGGAGACTGTGCCCACACGGGAAGAGTCCGTGGGTGGGGTGGGGAAGGACATGGAGTGATGCTGTATCCATATTCACTTCAGAAGTTGAAGACTCAAAAGGAGAGTAGGGAGTGGGGACCCAGGAAGAGGGCCTGGCCCTGCTTCAGGCTCTGGGTCAGAGGTGTGGGGAGGAAGAGGGAAGGGTAGGAGGAAGCTCAGAGCCGGGCCTCGCCAGCTCCCCCAGGCTTTTTCAGACAGTCACCGCCACCCAGGCCATCAGTGGAGATCTCCCGGAAGACGGTGAGCATGGAGTGCCGGACTCTGTCCGCCAGAGCTGGGACATCATCCGGTGTCAGCCCTTGTGTGGGCACTGGGGACAGCACCCGCACCTGACATCGTCCTGGGGGGAGGGAACGAGGAACAGCATCATGGCTGGCACTCCTGGTCTCGGCCAACCCTCTAGTGCCATCCCGCTACGCCTTTCCTCCACCTTCTGGGTCTCTCCTGTAAACCAGATGACCGCTGCTCTGCTCGCCAGCTGCTAACCAAATCCCCAGGCCGCTGTCCAGGCCTCTCTCCAGGATTCCAGTGTGCGGTCACAGTGTGCAGAGCTGATAGCAGGTACAACTCTGCACATGCCAGCTTCACCTTCCCTCTTGGAGAGACTGGTCCTTCCTACCTGGCACGCCCAGTGGGTACTTAAGGTCCCCGCCTCAGGGACATTCCCGGCCTCACCCTCCCCAGACCTGCTCAGAGCCCTCGAGCCAGGCGAGCTCACCCGAGGTGAAGCGGCGTTCCTTTTTGCAGTAGAAGTCTCGATAGGAGGACATGACTATGGGGACAATGGGAACCTGGGGAGAAGAGGCAAAGCCAGGGAAGTGAGTGCATCTGTCCTGGGAAGGAAGGAAGGGGGTCTGGATGCTGATGAGCGGACAGCAGTCATCACCTGGGCCTGGACTGCAAGGTGGAAGGCGCCACGTTTGAAGGGCAGCATAGAACCGTTGTGGTTTCTCGTTCCTTCAGGAAAAACCCAGACTCGCACCTGAGGGAAAGAGGAGGGTCAGAGGCTGCCATGAGGACACAGCACTGATTATCAGGGGTTTGCAGCCATTTGCTCCCTAACCCCCCAATCCCCATCGCAGGAGGACTCACATCCTGGGTGAGCAGGGTCTGGGCCACCTCAGACATGACACTGATGGCATCTCCCGTGCGTTTCCGGTCAATGAAGATGACTCCCGCCAACCAGCAGGCCAGCCCCGCAGAGCCAGCCCACAGTAGCTCCCGCTTGGCAATGGGCACACAGCGATCCGGCAGCACCTCCATCATCCCTTGGCAGGGGTGGGGATGGGGTATGGATGAGGGTATAAGCAGGATCAGAGCAGGCACCACACCCACCCAGGCCACCACCCACACAAACTGAAGAGGTAGATTGGAGGAGCCCTGAGAAATCAAACCTGACTACAGGCGTGCGAGCCTGCTGAGGGCAGACCCACCCCGGGAGAGGAGACCTGAGCAGGGGGGGACATTCGAGAGGAGGGGAATTAAGGTCTCTAGGGAAGCAGGGTCAGAAGAGAAGGCTCAGCTAGAGGACGGGGCCCTGTGATGAGGCCTCACCGAGCAGGTCGAGGGAGCTCTGGTGGTTGGAGACCACAACGTAGGGCTGCGTGGGAGGGAAGTGCTGAGCCCCCCGCACCTCCACTCGGATCCCATACAGGTATTTGATGTGCAGCAGCATCAGACGCAAGATCCTGTGGGGTCATGGCAAGGGGGCCCAGTGGGGTCCACTGATGCCCACCTCCGTGCCTGTGTGCCCGCCTGCCTACGACTTCCTGGGCGTCTCTGCAGTCCTTTCCCCCATCCTAGCCTCACCCTTGGGTTCCCTCGGGACCCACCGGTTCTCGCCCCCTGGCCCTTACTTCATGTTCTCGACATTGCGCCCTCGCACTGCGCACACAGGGATCGCGAGGATAGCCAGGAAGAGGATCCAGCCGTTGTAGAAGGCCATCTTGAAGAAGTACTTGGCACTGGGGCTGCAGAACCACAGGGTGGACAGCAGGAGGAGCAGCAGCAGCAGCAGTGCCGTCCAGGCCCCGGGCCACAGCTCCATTCTGGTCACCTGCAGGCGAGAGGAGCCAGGTAAACCAGGAGGCGAAGCTGAGACATCTCCAGGAATGGGAGGAACCCAGCCTGAGATAGATAGCTGCCCCCTGCAGATCCGGCTAAGTGATAAGGGAACAGCAAAGGCACAAGCTAACACTTGTGGCTGGACTTTTTTTTGAGGCAAGTTTCATTTTAATCCAAGCTGACCTGGAGCCCTCTAGCCCAGGGAGGTCTCTAGCTCGCAGCGGTCCTCTGACAGGTATGAAGCACCATGGCCTGCTCTGGACAGGCATCTATGTCTGTACTGGCCACTCCCGATGGTGAGGGACTGGGAATATTAATTAAATGCACACCAGACTCCTCAGGATTCTGGGTAAAAAACATGCATGTAAAACACCCCATTAATAACACCCGCTCTGTGCTGGACGCCAGGAAAGAGCACCACCAGTACTGAACCCTCTGGCTCTGATGGGCTCCGTTAAAAAATACCAACAAAACGGACTTCACTGCTTCTTTTCACCTTTCTTACTGTGGCCATCAGAAGCTTAGACCTAAGTGACTTCCCAGGGGAGGCCTTAAACTCTCTGAAGAGCAGATGGGGGTGGAGTGGAGGAACGGGGAGGAGTGGGAGGAGCAGAGGGAGAGGGAACTGGGATTGGCATATAAAAAATAATAAGTAAAATTTAAAAATTTAAAACAAAAGAGCGGGGGCTGGAGAGATGGCTCAGTGGTTAAGAGCATTGCCTGCTCTTCCAAAGGTCCTGAGTTCAATTCCCAGCAACCACATGGTGGCTCACAACCATCTGTAATAAGGTCTGGTGCCCTCTTCTGGCCTGCAGGCATACACACAAAACAGAATGTTGTATACATAATAAGTAAATAAATAAATATTTAAAAAAATAAAACAAAAGAGCGGCTCCATTTTATTTCAGATAGACAGCGCTGATTTATGCAGTATGTTCAACCCTATGTGTGGCCACGAGATAGCTTACAAAGTTCTGTCAGCATTACTGGTTCCACAGGAAAGAGCTCACCTGGGGCCACACAGCTCCTTGGCAGTTCTCTGATAAGCCTAGACATCCTGTGCTCCCGAGCCCTGCTAGTCCTGTCACTGTACATACATGTACACACACACACA